ATATATATATATATGACTGCAGGAAAAAAGGAAACTCAGAGAACATAAAGACAGAAAGACACGAGACTGTTTTTAGAGAAGTGATGTGGAAGTGAACAGGACTTTTAAAAGAAGCAATGGGAATTGTCAATAAGAGAGGGCAGGAGAAGAAAAAGAATAAAATAAGCATCAGCTAACTCTGCCAGCAGACCAGGATAATCAGGTAACCACGAAAAGAGTTTGGGCATCAAGGAGCCTGTTGCTCTCTTTTTTGCAGTAGAACTTTCAGTTTGTTTGCTTTGAAGTTTTGCAGTATGTGTGTTTAGGCAATATCCATAGCTAACTGACACGTGGCTCTGTGCATATGCTTAAATGTTTCATTTCAATATAAGGCTCTATGGTTTGTATCAGAGTAAAGAGAAAATTCCCAGATCTTTCTCAGTCAAAATTCCTGGTTCATTTCTTTGTAAATGTAAGGAAACCATGCTGTGTAGTGCAATACAAAACCCGTCCCTCTTCAGAGCTTGTTGGAATAAACATGGCACTGGAAATTATGGGGGGTTTATTGATCTTCTGGTATTTAGCACGTTTATCTGTTGCTTTGAATTCACCTGTTATCTGTGCATTTTAGCCATATCCTTGAACGGACTGCTTCATGACACTGATGTTTCAGCCACACAGTTGAAACAAATATAATAAGAAATTCAGATTTTGGAGCTTTTAGCAAGATAACATTCCTCTACAGTATCTACAAACCCAAACATCGGAGCGTTGAAAGCCTGATAGTGTCCCCTGAGTGAAACAGGTTTGATCGATTTCTCATAAACCAGTGCTGTAGGAAAAAGTGTACAAAGTACTGAAGTATAAATAGCAAAAGGCAATTTTAAAATTATTTTGGTCATTGAAAGCTGACCCAAGTTGTTGTAAAGTAGGTTCTGTAATTTTAGCCATTTGAGGCTGTACTTAAGCACCTAAATATAAATGACCTATTCTTCAGAGGTGCTCAAAAGCAAGGGTGGGTGTAACTCAGTGACAGGATTTGATCAGGGGAGTGATATGAGCTCACCAGCAGGAGAAAGAAGATTATTTTCCCAGAACTAATCTGCGTGGTCTGGAGTGAAGCAAGGTGAGCACCAGGGTAGCAGGAAGGGAGGTGTGGATCTGGCTTGGTGTTGATAGGAAGTTGAAGTGTACCTCAGCAGCTTAGAAATAATGTTTTTTCTGAGCCTATGTTCCTCTGCCTCAGAATATACTAGTATTTTTGGGTGTGAGCATTCGAAGTTGGGCATGTAAAGTGTATGTGTTGATTCTTAGGCTGAATGATTTTTCTAGTCTCCTCATTTGTTTAAAAATAAATTCTGTGGGTGTATATAAAGTGATATGGTTTACATTTACCTTACACATGTTTATATAATAACTGTATGTTTAAAAATAATACATCCAGAGTAGTGAGCACCATCCTCTCTTTGGACATTCCCCATCAGGGGAAGTTACGGTATGAATGATGACTTATAGTAAACAGAAAGTGAGCAAACTGACTAGCTGTGGATGTTAAAGAGGTGAGTTCAGGTGGAGGCTGTTAGAGGTTGCTTTTCCAGCCTGAAGGACATAATAGCTGTGCAAACAAATGGCATAGATGGCCCTGGCACATGCTTAGACTAACTGTATTTGGTAGTCTTGTGTCCCACAGTGGAGGAGGAAAATGCTGAGACCTGCTAAGGACAGACTCTTCCTTTGGTGGTGCCTTGGTAGTGCTTCCTCTGCTATTTGTTCAGCTGCAGGGCTGGCTGCCCTGGGCTGAGCAGGGCACAGAAACACGCCTGGATAGAGAAGAAGTATTTGGTTGTAGGTGAAAATCTTGTTGGCCAGAGCTGCAGTTTTTGAGATACAGCCAAGTTAAAAGGCCCCAGTGAAATCTCTCAAGTGCAGTGGGTGATACCTGCGCGGCTCAGGGTCGGTGGAAGGGGAGGTTGGGTATGGCCTGGCTGTGTGCTGGGGGCACATGACAGGTCATTGATGGCCAGAGACAGGGGCTGGTTAGTGCCATGG